CTCCGGCTGCTCCTCCGTCTGCCGCGAATCCTCAGGGATGCTTTCCCCAGGTGAGCCCCCTCCCCTCGCTCCGGCTGCGCCCCAGAAGCCCCCCGCTCGCCGCCCGCGGCCCCAGGGAGCTGGGGAACGTGGCGCTGGGCACGCACGCCCGCATCTTTGCCCTCCTGCCTGGTGAGTCTTGGCCCTGTTGCGCATTCAGCTGTTGCTTATCAGAAAAAGGCACCGGGGGCCCTTTTTAACAAGAGAAAGAAGGAAAATAAAAAAAAAATTTTAAAAGCCCCGACAAACGCAGGGTTATCGCTCCGCCTCGGTGGGTTTTGGACCAGCGGGGATCGCTGATAATGGATTGTATTGATCCACGCTGGGAAGGGATCGTGTCTTATCAGCGCCGCACGTACCAGCAGCTGGAAAATGCCCAGTAAGTACCAGTTTGGGCTCTAATCTGCCAAATAGCTCCGGTGGAGCAGAGTCCAGGCCGCCTGGCGCATTAATTACCGGAGTGTAGCTGATGCTCGACCAAACGGCTTTTTAATTGAGCCTCCCGGGTTGATAACGTGCCCCGGGCAGCGCGTAACCCACCTCCCTCCCAAGCCCAGCGCCGCCGCGGGGCCGAGGCTCCGCGTCAAAGCCTTCGGCTGGCCTGACCTCGGCGGGTTTTATAGTGCTTTAATAAACGATAAGGCCGAAAGCGGATGCGGTCGGTTTTGAGAGACTTTGAGTTTTCTCCTGAGGTCCCCTCGGGGAACTCTGCACCAGCGGCGCGGTGCGGGCGCTGCGGGCGGAGGAGCGAGGGAGGGGAGCCGGCGGGGAAGGGTGGGGACCCCTCCTATATAGCGAGAGGAACGCTGACCGCGCCGTCTGCTCCCAGAAACTGCCACGGGAGCACGAGAAGCGCCGACGCCATGCCCAAGAAATACACCCTGAAGCAGAGCTCGCCCGGCTGCGAATTGGGTGAGTGCCGCGCGCGCCCACCCCGGCGAGCTCGCCGTCCCTGCGGGGTGGTGTTGCTGCTGGGACGCCTCAGCCCCAAAGACCCTGGGATTTGGGGAATAATGTGAATTTTCCAGCTTCAAGCTGCCCAGGGAGGCTGTGGAGTCTCCTTCTCTGGAGATATTCCAGCCCCGCCTGGACGCGGTGCTGTGCCCCCTGCTCTGGGTGACCCTGCTTGGGCAGGGGGTTGGGCTGGGTGACCCAACGAGGCCCCTTACGACCCCGACCATGCTGGGATTCTGTGAAACCACCTCCTGCGAGGTTTCTCCCGCCCGTAGGTGCTTTCGGCGAGGCCGGCACTTGCGTTCCCATGCGGGAGCGATGCTGCGGCTTGGTTTTAATTCCCCTTTCTAACGCCCGCGCTGTCAGGTTGGAGGTAACGTTAAACCCGCAGTGGCGGAATCTCCCCTTTCCCAGATTTTTCTTCTTATTTTTCCAGGATTTGGTCATTTCAGCAACGTCCTGTGAGGTTTTTTTTGTGTGTTGAAACAATAAGGAACGCAGATTGCAAAACCTCCACGTTTGGGAAAAGCAAGGAGCTGCCTCCCCCGCTGCCGGCGCTTTGCCTGGCAAAGGCCTCTGGTTCTTATCCAGCGGCTTCTCCCGCGCAGGTCGGGGTGTCCCGCTCCGTCAGCCCTGGTCCCCACAAAATTAACCGTCGGCCAAGAAATTAACAGGTCGGGACGGCGGAGATAAGAGCACGGAGCGCTCGTGTGGCGCTGGAAGCGACGCTGCTCCTGCCACGCGCCGCTTCCCGGGCTGGCAGGCTTCTTGCATGTCTCGCCAATTAAATCTGTTGGTTTAGCTCTCGGGAAGGGGTTGCTTAAAAATAATTATCTTCAGTTTTCGAGGGAATATGCAGAGTAAGAGGAATCCTGTCAAAAAGCAGCATTTCTCCCTGCAGAAAAAAAGAGGAAAACCCAAACAAAACCCAAATCAAGGCACCTGTACCCCAAAACAGGGCGTATCCTTTGTGAGATGCAGCTGCATTCAGAAATAACGAGGACGTCGCGTGTCTGCAGCCGGTTGCCGGCTGCCAAAAATCTCAAAATTTGGGTTTTTGGCAGGAAAAGCGCTGCGGAGGGCGGGGGGGGCCCGGCGGGGGG